AATTTCTGAATTTCTGAATTTCTAAATTTCTGAATTTCTGAATTTTTTAATTTCTGACTTTCCGAATTCCTGAATTTCTGAATTTCTGAATTTCTAAATTTCTGAATTTCTGAATTTTTTAATTTCTGAATTTCCGAATTTCTGAATTTCTGAATTTCTGAATTTCTAAATCTCTGAATTTCTGAATTTCTAAATTTCTGCCTTTCTGAATTTTTGAATTTCTGAATTTCTGAATTTCTGAATTTCTGAATTTCTGAATCTTCTGAATTTCTGAATTTCTAAATTTCTGAATTTCTGAATTTCTAAATTTCTGAATTTCTGAATTTTTTAATTTCTGAATTTCCGAATTTCTGAATTTCTGAATTTCTGAATTTCTGAATTTCTAAATTTCTGAATTTCTGAATTTTTAAATTTCTGAATTTCCGATTTTCTGAATTTCTGAATTTCTGAATTTCTGAATTTCTGAATTTCTGAATTTCTGAATTTCTGAATTTCTGAATTTCTGAATTTCTGAATTTCTGAATTTCTGAATTTCTGAATTTCTGAAATTCTGAATTTCTGAATTTCTGAATTTCTGAATTTCTGAATTTCTGAATTTCTGAATTTCTGAATTTCTGAATTTCTGAATTTCTAAATTTCTGAATTTCTGAATTTTTTAATTTCTGAATTTCCGAATTTCTGAATTTCTGAATTTCTGAATTTCTGAATTTCTGAATTTCTGAATTTCTGAATTTCTGAATTTCTGAATTTCTGAATTTCTGAATTTCTGAATTTCTGAATTTCTGAATTTCTGAATTTCTGAATTTCTGAATTTCTGAATTTCTGAATTTCTGAATTTCTGAATTTCTGAATTTCTGAATTTCTGAATTTCTGAATTTCTGAATTTCTGAATTTCTGAATTTCTGAATTTCTGAATTTCTGAATTTCTGAATTTCTGAATTTCTGAATTTCTGAATTTCTGAATTTCTTTAAATCGAATGTTTTGAAAGACATTGCAAAATAGCTCATTTTCAAAATGTGTTTTTCTAAACTCTTTAACAAAAAAAACGGTTCAGGACAGAAGAAAAAAGAATAACTAATCATTTTGGTTCTTGAATTATGCAAAAAAAAAAGAAAAAAAAACTCGTGTTTTTCAGTGATGACGAGATAAATCTCAAGATCATCCGGGTCTGAAACCCTCTGCATCTGAAATTTTTTCGAAAGTTTTGTGCGCCAGGAAAAGTGTTCAAAAACCAAATTCTGCTTTCTGACTCAACTAACTTTCTCTGTCTTGTTCAATTCAATTTCAACTTTTTTTTTCTTCAAAAAAAAGCACAAAACGAGGTTACAAAGGACTTCTGAAGACGTCGTCAGAAGCAGAAGACGTGATCAAAAAAAGTATAACGACGCTCATTTTATGACTATTTTGGAGGAAAAAATGGAAGAAGAAAGAAAACGTTCTCATTCTAAAGTACTTCTAAAAGAATACTTCAGAATAGTGACGACATTTCCTTTTTCACATGAAGTATTTTTTTTCATAGATGACTTGTTTGGGGCGGAAAAAGGAGCTTATGTAGTTATTTTTTGTTTCAGCCGCCGCTTCTCGTTTTTCTTGTCTCAAAAAAATGTTTAGTCATCATCAAGAAGAAGAACAAGAAGAAGAGGAAGAAAAAGAAGGGATGGGAATGAATGGGAAAAATCAGTGAAGCTGAAAATTGTGGCGGAAAAACGAGATGAAGAAAAAAGCGACGACGACGACGACATCCGAAGCAGGGCAGAGAACACGATTTTTCGGTTCGCATGTTATAAGGATCAAGATGAAAAGGCCAAGAAAATTCTGGAAAATTTTGCAGTAAAGTTTGATGTACCGTAAAACCTCTAGTAGAATGGCTCCCACACTGTCAAGCTTGAGATCAATTATCTCAATTCCTGTTAAAGATATAAAAACGTTGTCACCTGATGAAATATTCATCATAAAATTATTAAAATTTTATCTGTTGACACATTTTTTGATATCTTTGTCAGGATCCGAGATAAATCGGCTCAAAGTTAAAAGGCAGGGTGCCCTTTTATTACAGGTTTCACGGTAGATTTCGGGAAGAATACAAAAATTGGGATTTTTGAGTACATTTAAAAATTCAAAAGTTTAGAATAAGGTTAAGAATTTCCATACAAAAATTTTGGTATTTGAGAACTTTCTGAAAAAAAATCGGTGATCGAAAAATTTGAAAATTTGAAATTTCAAAAGTCTAAATTGTTTGAAAAAAACATTTGGAAAATGACATATTTCCTCCAATAGAAAAGCCCACTCGAGCTGTTAACTTAGAGCTCAATCATCTCGATTCCTGTCAAAGAAATCAACAATTTGTCAACTGATAGAATATTGCTGATATTATGATAAATGATTTATCTTCTGACAATTTTTTGAAATCTTTCACAAGAACCGAGATAAAAACTTCTATTAGAGAAAGACAATTTAAATGTGAAATTTTGAGTTAAAATTTTTTTTCTGCTTTTCAAATTGTTAAAATTTTCAAATTTCGCCTTTTTTGGAGATCTTTGACATATAAAAATTTCAGAAAATTCCTGAAAATCTCAAAATTACAAATTTTCTAAACTTTCTGAGAATTTGGTCATGAAATACAAATTGTGAGATTCAAAACAGATGACATCGTACACTGTCAGAATCAGAACGGAAAGAAAATCTCCATGGTAACTAGAAAATTATTTTGTCAATATTATGAAATTTCTCAAAACAGCTGACCCTCAATTTTCTCACAAATTCCCGCCGAAAATTTGACCCGAAAAAGAGAGAAAACACTAGGGAACGCTATCCCTCTTCCTGATCCTTGAGATCTTAAAAAATGAAATTTCAAAAAAAAAACGAGCCTAATAAATTTGAAGTCGTTGTCGTTGGTCGTTTGCGTCATTTGGCTCTTTCACTGGGCTCTGCCTCCCAAGGAAGTCGATGGCAAAAGAAGGAAGAAGAAGGAGCAGGTAAAAATAGTGTACAGTTTAGAGAGACGGCCAGAGAAAAGAAGTGTGTTCAAGAAGAGGTCAGAGACGGAGAAGAAGAAGAAGAAGAAGCCTTCTTTCCGGAAAAAAGAAGAAGAAAAAGGAGAGAACTTCTTCATCTCCTTGCGCTGCTTCTGACGCAAATATACGCAATTTGATGTATGTATGGACCCAAAGGATATTCCCTTCTTTTACGCCCTTCTATTTGTTGCAAATTTTGGGTCGCGACTCATGTTTCAAAATGACACATTTTTTGGGAAAACTTTGCTCCGGAAGCCTCGAAAAAACGCCCATTTTCGAAATTTCTAGAACATTCCAAAATAAAAATTTCGAATCCAATAAAGAATTCCGGAATAAAATTGGTGTCTAGTCGACCACTTTGTTCCAGCCGCGTACCTCTTGTTTCTGCTCTCCCGTGGCTGAGTGAATGGAAAACAAAAACTTTAAGAGACTAAAAAAGAGACCAGAAAACACTATTTTCCCTTTTGGAATAATTATTTCTTATTCATATGAAAAGTGGACAGCCAGACCATTTTTTTTGTGGTCACATGGCTCGTATCATTTGTTGCAAAGTATAAAGAACTTAAAAATCTTGATTCGGGAAATTTTGGAAAACGGACAACAGTAGGGCAAACTGTGGACAACATTCCTTGCCAGATCTTTGTCCAATACATAGTTTAAAGAGATCTGAAAGCTCTTGCTCCATGACTTGGAGATATCGATTTTTGAATAATGAGAAGCTCTAGATCCTTATATAAGGATTGTGTTCTAAAAGGACCTTTTTCGCAGGTTACGGTAAGCACACACAGTACTGGTCAATGAGAAATACAAAAACGTATTTTTCAGTTGATTTTTGGCCATTTTGGCCATCTCCCGGAGTCTGGAGCTTCGCCGTCAAGTTTCCGATCACTTTGAAAATTTTGGAGAATGTAAAACAGACCTAGATTGAAAGCTTTGCATTTACAGATTTTTTTTTTGAAAATTCCTAGTTTTTCAGATTTCTGAAGGACACCCATTTTTGACCGGTTTTTTGTACTGAAGACGTGAACGAACATGTGCCTTTCAAAAATTGGAAAATACCTGAAAACTAGGGGTTTTCAAAAACTTTGTGAATGCAGTTTTGAATCTAGGTCTGTTTTACACCCCCACAAAATTTTCAAAGTGTTCGGAGACTTGACAGCCGAGTTTCAAACTCCTGAAAACAATTAAAATGACACTGAAAAATACTTTTTCTGTATGTTCAGAGCTTCTCCATTTCAAGAACGATAACTCTGAATTGAGGTATTTTCAAAAGTCATAAACAATGGCCTAGAAAATCATCCTAGGCCACCAAAAATCGGACTTCTCAACGTGTTTATCCTGACAACAACAGGTCAAGATCAAAACATCAATTTAATCTTTGGGATACACACGAATTTGTTAATTTATTTTTGGATACATATTTCCCTAATGTTTTTCATGTTACGTGAGAAAAAAACTTCTGCAGTGCCTCCTGTGTCACTAGTCTACTTCCTATGATGAGAAAGAAGAAGACGTGGAAATGAACAAGGAACCGATGACCGAAGAACGTCAGATGAGGGGGGAATTCTGAAGGAAATCCAATACCTGCGTCATTCGAAATGCAAATACTCAGAGGAGACAACGAGTTACCCATTTGTCAGGAATAAGCAGGGCTCGTATTCTAGAAGACGGAGATTCTAGGGAAGGAAAAATTATAGGGTTCCCCAAGTCGACTGAAAATAATGGTGATGCAGAAAAAAGGGAGGAAAAAAAACGAATTTTTCAGAAATTCGTTTGAAAACCTATCATAATTGACCCTAATTATCTCAGTTCCTGAAATGAATATCAGAAAACTTTCAATTGAAAAGGGACACTTCTATCACAGCCTTTACCATATCTCGGCTCCCTCAGGAGATAAAAAATCTTTAAACTCATAAATTAGAGCTTTTTATAATCAAACAAAATGAGGGAAAAAAGAGAAACCGGTAGGAAAGGGTAAAAAACTTGTGAAAACAATGGATAAATCTTTTTTTTCTGAACATCCGGATGATGAAATTTTATGGTCTTTAGAACTGAAAATCCTTATGTTCTGGATGTTGGATGAGATGGACCAAAACAAAAAAGGAAGTTCTAGGATTTATGTTACAAAAGTTTTGAAAAATGAAGATTTACTTTTGGTTACCGTAAATGCTCTAACAGATGTCCACCCAAGAAATCAATTTTTTAACTGATACATTATTTATCATAATATCACCCATATTTTATAATTGACAAATTTTTGGTATCTCTCATGAGAATTGAGATAGTTGAGCTCAAACTGCGGAAGTATGATTAGGGTCAATCAAGGGAACACAGTGGTCGGTAAAATTAAAAAGCTGAAAAACCCAAACCGTTACTTCAAGTTTAATTATCTCGGTTCTTTCAAAAGATATTAAAAAATAGCTATCTGCTAAAATGTTTATCATTATATCGCCAACATTTTATCAGTTGACAACTTTTTCATATCTCTCATAGGAACCGAGATAATTGAGCTCAAAGCGCACATATAGGGTGGGCTTCTATTAGAGCAAATCCGGTATGTCAAAAAGTTGATCATTTTAGACAAGTTTCAAGTTCCAAATATATGAAAAAAAACTCACCTTGACCTTATAAGCCCAAATCCTATCCACACTTCTTCTCCTCGATGTGCTCTTCTCCTTTCCTCCACTTCTGGATCCAACTCGATTCTCAACATTTGGAGCAGCAGATGCTCTTCTTGCAGCCACTGATTCTCTTCGTTTCATATCTTCCATACTCTCATCATCCAACTCATCTTCTGTAGTCGTTGGCTCATTGATCGTCTTGCTGGAAGTGGCTCCATTTCGACTGCCCAAAAGTGAAGCGATCAGAGAGGAACTCCGTTTGTTCAATCGACGAGACAATCGTTTGGTCCATGCGAGTCGAGAAGTTTCTTCTTCGTCAGGCATTTCAGAAGAAGAACCAGAAGACGTTGGCAGGATTCAGATGACCTAGATAATTGAAAATGGTAAAATGAGAAAAAAAAGTAAAAGTAAAAGCGAAAAAGGAGGAGCAAATACGGAAAACAACATTTTTGGGTAGGATTATGTTTGTGACAAGGAGGGGCTTAGAAAGTCAACAAAAGTTTAGAATTTTTCCGTTTTTCCGTTTTTTGAGTTACAAATAAAATACCACCTGCCAAAAACTGCACAAATTTGTGGTTACCGGAAAAAATTGATTCATTATTTTGTAAAAAAAAAGACAAATGACCAAACAACCAGTGTTTTTTTTTCAGTTTCGGTTTAATTTTGAAATTGAGAACATCAAAAATCGAGGTGGGGGAGAGGGGAAAAATAGAAAACTAACAAATAAAAAATATTGTAAAAAATAAGGGTGTCAGATTACAGGAGACAAGTGTGAAAATGAGAAATCACTTCTGAAACAATTTAGATTGGTTTGGTTTGTTAGATATATTCAAAAATTCGAAAAAAAATTATATAGAATTCTACAATTTTTTGACTATATGAAGCCAAAAAAATTTTAGTGTTCAGTTTTGTTGTCAAGTGAGATAGAAGAGCACAAAGACTGAAATTGATAAGAGGATTATAGAAAAAAAGAGAGAAAAATATGCCGAACAAAAATAGTAAATCGGGTACAGAGAACGAGATTTTTCAGTAAAAAATTCATAAGAAAAGATCATGTGACTTATTTCAAAAGTCCTCAAAAAAGTACAAAATGAAGACCTTCGTGTTTTTGACACTTCTCGATTTCCGATTCTCAATTTCTCTACCGCCTCTCACTCTCTCGTTCTCGTCATTAAATTAATTTCTTTTTCCGTTATTCCAAAGGAAGACATACCACATTTTATGAGGGAAATTATTTTGGGAATCTGGGAGGGAAAAAATATGATTTTTGGTCTTTTTCGACCTTTATTCAGTTAGTTTGGTTGCTAGAAAAAGAAATCAGCAAAAAAACCTCTAATAGAAGGGTTTCCAAGATGTCAAGTTTGAGCTCAATTATCTCAATTTCTTTTGAAGATATGAAAAACGTTTCAACTGACAAAACACTTCTGATATTATGATAAGCAATTTATCAGTTGACAACTTTTTCATATCATTGAAAGAAACCGAAAAAAAATGACTCAAAGTTGAAAGTTAAAAGGCCCTTCTATTGAAAACTTTACGGTATATTGCAGCTTTTATGATTAAAATTTGAAGATCATGCTTTTTGAGTCAAACATAGCCATAAATAGTCAAGTTTGAGATTTTGAAACAATACGTCAGTGGCTTTGACACTTTCAGAGTTATCAGTGAAATTTTTAACAATTTAAATTTTTTTTAAATAAAGAATAACCAGTCGGTTTACGCCCCTCCGGGGCTGAATCTCCTGGCCTCCGGTTACAGTACCCGTAATATCATGAAGTTACTTTTTCACTTTTTAAGATCTAAACTCGACAAATGGTAAATTTGGATATTCAGAAAATCAGAAATCCTCTATTCCGGAATTCAGAATTTTGAAAATTCGGGAAGTCAGAAAAAAGAAAAAAAATCAAAAATGAGAAAAGTAAGAAGTTTGGAAGGTCTGAGAATATGAATTCAGTTTTCGGAAGATGGAAAAATTCAATTCCGAAATTCAGAAGTGTTTCAAACTTCCAGATATCTGAGTGTTTGAAATTCTGGAGTTCAGAAATTCGGAATTTCGGAATTAAAGAAGTCCAAATCACATTCGAAATTTCAGTGATGCGATAACTCTGAAATTTAAAAACACAACTTTGATTAATTTCAGAATGTTGAAGTTTGAGAGTTTTCTGAGTTCCAAAGTTTTGAGTTTCTGCATCTCCCAATCTAAATTTTTGATTTTCCTATATTTCACGTTTCCGAATTTTTGAATTCCCTGATTTCCAAACTTCCAATAACCGAACTTTTTCTCGAAGAATTCAGAAATCAGAAATTTGAGAACTTTTTGTATTAAGAATCTAGAAAAATCGGATGTTCGAAAACTTGGAATTTTTAAAATTCAGAAACTCAAAAATTGAGAGATTCTGAAACTGGGCAGTGGGTTTTACGGTAGCAGTTTCGATTTCATACTGCACGTTTTAGTCAACTTTGAGCCAATTATTCTCGGTTCATGTGAAAGATATCAAAAAGTAGTTAAATAATAAAATGTTGGCGATATTATGATAAACGTTTTGTCAGTTTACCATTTTTTGATATCTCTCACAGACTTCGAGAAAAATTGACCCAAATCTGACGAGCATTGTGCTACTGTATCGGAGATTTTACGGTGGTTTTTTTTAAATTTAAAAATTGATGCTATGTTGGGTATAACTGAAAAAAGGTCTCCAAAAACCTGACCTTTAACCTGAATCCTCCTTAACCAACAAACCAACCGATCGACTAAAAATAATGAGGAACAAGCAGCGGAGTAAAAAAAAAACAAAAAAACATGTGTCACAGTAGGTTGTTGAAGGAGGAAAAATGTGTTCGTTTTATTGTTGGGGGTTGGGTTGAAGAAAAGGAAGAAACAAAATAAAAAAGGTTCTTCTTTCGGGAGGAGAAAAAGTACAACAGCTGCTGTTGAGACAAATTTTGATTGGGGTGCCGAGAGAAGATATTTTTAGAGGTTTGCTGATTTCTGTGCTAAAAGAGTCTAGGCGACAACGTGAGAAATGATACATGGAGGACCTGTTCGGATGGTACTCACTGGACAGATGGGCAGGAGAAATGAGAAAAATAATGTGGTACTGTTATTGGAAACAAAATGAGGGAGGAAAAAGAAACCGGTAGGTGGGAAAAGAAGAAAAAACTTGTGGAAACAATGGATGAATCATTTTTTGCTGTATATCCGGATGAAAAATGATGTCATTTGCTTTTTTTTGAACTGAAAATTATTTTGACTGGTTGTTGGATGAAATGGATGAACCAAGAAAAAAAGATTTTTAGGATTTATGTTACAAACGTTTGAATAATAATGCTCTAATAAAAGCTATATTTTATCAGTTGACACATTTTTGGTATCTTCTAGAAGAACCGAGGTAATTGAGCTCAAAGAATGTAAGCTGTGTAAAAAAGAGAATGGCGAGACGGTTCCACAATTAAAACGTTTTTCAGGTAATTTTTGTAAAAAAAATTTTTTTAGCTAAATTGACAGAAAATGGTTGAAAATGGCTGAAAATTTTAACGAAAACCTGCTCTTACTTGAATGGAATAGGGCTATGAGCGTCTAAAAAGAGCCTGAAAATTTGTTTAAAATCGCAAAAAAAAGAGTCTGAAAATTTTGGCTTAAAATTCAGGCAAATCTGGAAAGTTGGCTTTGAAAACTTAAAAGTGAGAACCTGACATTTTTATCAAAGAATATGAAATTCGGGGTTTCGAAGTTTAGTTCAATTAATTCGGTTCCTTCAATAGATATCAAAAACTTTTCAAGTCATAAAATGTTTATCATAATATCACCAATATTTTATCTGTTGACAAAATTTTGATACCTTGTAGGAACCGAGATAACTGAGCTCAAAGTAGGCGTATAGAGTTGGCTTCCATTGGAGCAAATGAGGTAGATTATTTCAGAATTTCCAAAACCCAAAAAAAATCATTATCCAAAATTCTGATCTACTTTTGAATATATTGGTAACACTAGATTTCATTTGTCTTCAACACGACGGAAATACCACACATGTGTTGTATTAAAACGAGAGTGATGAAATGGAGTGTATTGGAAAATCCAACAGATGTTTAGGCACAGAGGTCATCGAAACGGGTCAGTTTGAAAATTTCTTGCCTATTCATTAGATCTCCTGGATTTTTCAAAACTTCCTCCGCAAAAAAGATAATAGGAAATTGCTATTTCATGTGGAAAACACTCGAGATTAAATCAGAAAAAAAAAATGGAAAACGGTGTACCGCAAATGGTATTGAAAACGGTATGGTTTGAAGGGCGCCATGGTCGTTTTCCCTGTATTCTCTGCGTCTCTCTAGCTATCCACACTATTTCCCCGGTTTCCCACAAAATGAAGCCCTATTAGTGTTCGTTTGAGGTCGAACCGATCCTCCCGACGGACCGAAGGACAGTCATTCACACACGGATTATGTATGCAAAATAAATGAAAACAGAGGAAATAGTGTGAGAGATGAAGAGATTAGAGACAATGAAATCGAATAGGTGGTTTTGTTTGACGTTTTCTCGCCTCCACCTCTGCTGGTGGTTTCGATGAATGCCAATGAAATATGGACCGTAATTATGGTTTAGCAAGTGCATTAGCACTAGATAGTATGCATGTTTTGGAGAAGTTATAGAAATTGTAAAAATGAGGACAAAGTAGCAGAACACCGTTTTTTGGTATTAAAATGTGGTCCGAGTATAGCTTATCCATAAAAACCAAAAGTTTTATGATAGGACTACCGTACGGAACAAGTTATTTGAGAAATTCCAATCTGTCAATTTTTCTGAAATCCTCGGAAAATTTTAATTCACAAAATGGATTTACAGTTGGAAACAAGGAATGGTTTCGCTGCAAAGCAGGAAACTTTTTTCCTTGCAAACCAGAAAAGCTTAATGGTTTGATTTTTCAGAATTTTTTATCTAGAGTAAACTATAGATTTTCCAAACTACAGATTTTCCTATACTTGAAATCCCTAATTGAATGCCAAGCCTAAACGTAATCTTTGAGCACAGTTGTCTCGGTTCCTATAAGAATTATCAAAAAATTGTCAGCTGATAAAATGTTAATGAGATCATGATAAAGATTGTATCAGTTGACAGATTTTTGATAAATTTCATAGTTATCGAGATAATTGAGCTCAAATTGCAACTACCGTGAACACTCTAATTGAATGATCCTAACATTTGAGCCAATTTATCTCGGTTCCTGTCAAAGATATCAAAATTTTGTCAACTGGAAAAACAATTCTGATATTATGATGAGCAGTTTATTAGTTGACCACTGTTTGATATCTTTGACAGGTACCAAGAT